CAGCGCCTGCTCACGTTTTCCCAACAATCCCAAACTGAGGAGAGCGTTTTTCCTTTTCCCTAGGAGGTACTGGCATTCCTCCAAGCATGGGGGGACCAGATGGAGCAGTAACACAGCTAAAATTGGGGGGGGAAGGAGAGGAGGGGAGTATCTCTTAAGGAGCTGGCTTGAAAATAGGATCATGGAAAGCAGCTGTTGCTTCAAGAAAGGGTTTTGTTGCTGATTCTAGAAAAAGATAGAATAGGGGCTGATGTGAAAAATCAGCCCTGAAGACCAGATGTGTTCAGGCTGTATTTTGGAAGACCAGCAGGTCAAATGCAGGCACTGAGGAGTGGATGGAGGAGGTCTGACTGCTGGACAGCACAACTCACTGATTTTTCTCACAGATGGTGCTTTGGGCTGGTTTTGGGGGGCTCAGAGAGGCAGCACCTTCCCCTCTGAAACCCTCAGCACTCAGGATCACAAATTCCTCCTGACACGTCTCCCAGCGTGTTCCCGGAGCCCCCTCTCCTCCCTATCAGTTCCCTGTGATGCAGACAGGGGAAGACACATCATTAGGTAACCATTTATGTAAGTGACCCGATGTTTGCGTGGTGCTGGGGTTTCACAGCCCTGAAAGCCCTGATGGCATCTCTGACCCACGGCCATCGACCCGCTCACTGTCCTGGTCGAACAGCCCAGTCCATACCCTTGTCCCACTGGGAGGAGCAGGAGCTCTGCCTCCTGTTTTCCTCTCAGGACTCTGTGGATTGCTATGGAGATGGAGGCCAGTGTGACAGGCATCAGGCAAACCACATGAGACAGTCTGTGTCCCGGGGGACTCGCTGTGAGCTCGGCGAGCCGCGCTCTGAAAGGCATCCCGGGCACAGAACCCCCATTAACACCATCGAGTGGTGCTGCTCTTCAGTGCCCTGAAAACTGATCTCACACTTGGGTCTCACACTCAGGAGTGCTTTTGAGAAGGGGGGAGGTTAAAACTCAGGGAGAGAGCGGCACTAGGGTGTGCAAAGAGGCATCACAGCTCACTGAGGACAGGAGGCCCAGTGGCCTGGTTACACCACTGTATTCTGGACTAGTGCCTCAGCTGCTCTTGCAGGAGCACGCTAGAAATTATTTCCCTTTCTCTAACTCCCTGTTGTGTTTCATGCAGGATTTTCTGCACGGATATGAGGAATGTGAGGTGAGAAACTTCAGCTTCAAGGCGACACCCCCCGCCTCAAGCCACGACACCGGGAGGGACCTGTGCTTAGAGCAGACCTGCAGGACGTGGTTCTCCCCTTTGGGTGACCACAACAGGTCACACACGGGGCCAGCAGGGCTCTAACTCCCCCCAGCACACGTTCCTTACGTAAGTGTGCTGCGCTGGCCACGGGCACAGGCGCCTGGATCTGTGTTCTGGCGATGGCTAAAGCAGCCAGTGTAGGAATTCGGTCTCCTTGGTGACGAAACCAACCAATGGAAAACACAGGGGGAAAAAAAAGAAAAGAGAAGCTAAAACCACCCATGGACCTCGCTTTTATTTTCAGAGTGGAGGATATTTCAGAGTGAATTAGCCTGTCCTTTATCTGCTTTTGTGTTTGTGGCTGGATAGCAGAGCATGGCTTAATTGTTCCATTGTTCGTGATGGATGAGTATCCTTCAAAAAAGTGGACTCCAGTTTGCCACAGACAAAGATAATCCAGCTCTTGGTCACCTGGTTTTGTCTGACAAACACAGCCAGTGCTGGAGGGAAGCACTCAGTGCCCTCAGTGGAACCAGTTCCTTGCAAAGTTAACTGGTTTCATCGGAGATCGTGCTGTGAGGTGACGTTACTGGGCAAACCCTCAGGGAATTCCAGAGTGGATGGCAGGCTGGGTGCAAGGACTGACCCTCAGCTGGGCCTTGGAAAGGTGGCACCCTCTGCAGCAGCTCCCTGCAGCTCCCTGAGATCTGCCCAGTATCACAAGGGACGGGATGCGTGCCCAGCAGGCTCCTGCCTTCATCTGAGTCACCCCAAAACAGGATCAGCGATCCCAGGAGCATCCCTGGAGATGCCAGTTAAAACAGGATCAAAGAGCCAGGTATGTGTGATGATAGACCTTCCTTCCCACGAGGGCAGAAGATGCCAGCACAGCCCCTGTGAGCTCGGGCACCGTCCTTCCCACGCAGCCTCCCCCCACACCCCTCCCAGTAACGGTGCTGGGTTTGGGTATGAAGTGACTCCTGCCCTCCCTGCAGAGCCCTGCATTAAACCCAGCATTGACACAAATGTAGGCTGGCCATGGCACCAGAAAGTGGCCACCACTGGGTGCAGCAGCAGCCCCTTCCAGAGACACGTGAGCTGTTGTAGCCCCTGTGATCCACAGCCGAGAGGGACCTGCTCTCCTTTAAAGACATCTTGAGCCCCTCAGAGAAGAGTCAGATCTCGAGGCAGCAGAAGACACCACCTCCCCAGCGTGGTGCAGCCACGCAGGGTCCAGCCATGCCTGGCTTCGGGCAGCTGCAGCAGAAGGTGGGTGGCAAACCCGTGATTTTATGGAATGGTGGCGGTCCCTTCCCAGCACAGACTTCCCCAAATGACAGAGAAGGGTCTTGGACGTTTGCACTGGGAGCATCTCACAGTGAGCATTTGGCTTGGGGTGCTGCTGGGGGGACGTGGAGGGCTTGATAGCGAGGGGCAGTTTTACCCCTGCCAGCTGCAAAGCGGTTCAGCGTGTTTGTAACATCCCTGGACACGGCTTCTCCTGGGGTCTGGTGCTCTTTTGGAGGCTGCAGGAGCCAGGGATGCTCAGAGCTTTCTGGAGGCCAAAGGCCACCTGTGTGCCCTGGAGTGCAGCACTGTGTCCCCACCAGGCTCTGCTGCAAAACAAAGGCCTTGACAGCACCCAAACATCTCCTGCTTCAGCTTAACAGGCTGGAAAGACAGATTAGGTTTCCCAGGTGGAAAATTTCCCACAGAAAATATCAGAGCCCCGTTTTTCTTTCCTGATTAATGAATGTTGTGACCCTCTCTCCCTAAGTTATTCCAGTAATGCCCCAGGATCCTAATTAAGACTGAGCCCAGCGGCTCTTGGCATTGTGCAAACACATGGGAAGAATCCAGCCCTTCTCTAGAAAGCTTCTCATCCAGTTTGGTTTAGGCAAATGCATCCATTGAAACTCTCCTTTTCTTTTTTTTTTTTTTAACTTTTTCAGCAGCACCACAATGGAGTCTTTCATCTCTACCTCTTGTGTGTATTCCAGTGTCATGCCCTCTGCTTTCAAAGGCTTAGGTTTGCCTTTAATTGTGTCGAGAGCCTTTGTCTCTAAGCCTTTAGTAATGGATTTTTATTTCTTTTTTTCCCCTCTCTGCCAGAAGAAGAGTTTTGTTTCTTTGCTGGCTTTTCTTCTAAAGCTGAAGTGACAGTTCCCCCTTCTCAGTGAGATTTACAAAGCTTATCTTTTAATTTTCAAGAGCCAAACAGAGAAGGGGGGGGGGAGGATGAAACGTCATCGTGGCTTTTAAACACCGTCGCTAAGAGGGCTTAATGATCTAGAAATGCACGTTTGCAGGGTGGCTTTGGCTTGGTTACACTGAACTGCTGCTCCTGACGGAGACAGGGATGGAGCTGGGGGGCCAAAGCCAGTCCTTTCCTCTGGGCCTAGTCCATATGGAATCCTGGAATGGTTTGGGTTGGGCCTCAAAGCTCATCCTCCTCCACCCCCTGCCCTGGGCAGGGACACCTTCCACCAGCCCAGGCTGCTCCAAGCCCCGTCCAGCCTGGCCTTGGACACTTCCAGGGATCCAGGGACAGCCACAGCTTCTCCATGGGCAACCTGTGCCAGGGCCTGCCCACCCTCCCAGGGAAGAATTCCTTCCCCCACTGGTGGCAGGAAACTGAGGCAAGAGCCTGTTGGGCACTTGGCTTCCACAGAAGAAAACAACCTGTGGTCAGCTCGAGGGATGACTGGAGCCAATTGTCGAGGATTTGAAATGAATGATGGATCCCATGGTCCCCTTGCACTAAACTCAACCTCGTCACGTTGGCTCTCAGGGCTTGCAGGGTTTGCCTTGGCAGCGGGGAGGACGGTCCTGGGATTGCCATCGAGGCATTTCCGAAATTCCTGTCATGGGAACCAGAGGGACAAGGCCCTGCTTGTCCGTGGATGGGCACAATATGCTCCAAACCTCCTATCCAGGGTGTCCCTGGGAGCTGGATTTGTGCTGGAAGGGGAGCCAGTGCTGACACACCAGGTGGGGATGCTAACAAGCCACAGGACCCCCCACCCTCCTGCCAAATCCTCAGTAACTTTATTTGGGCAGGTTCAACTCTCTCTTCCCTTTCCAGGAGAGGAGCTCCATGCCCAAGCCAGCGCTGTCCCCCTGGCTGGGTGGCACTGCATCCCCTCAGCTTGGTGTCCACACTTCCCGGGGCACCAAACCACATCCCTGCCCCCAGGAAGGGGAGGTGGGAGCCAGGGTGGGCTGGATGGGATCCTCATCCTCCCAGCCCGCTGCCTCCTGCAGTACAATATCCTCTCTGTCCTGAAAAGGCTGAAGATTTTAATCCCAAAATAGACATTTCCACAAAACTCTCCTTATTTTTTTTGTAGTTTTTTTTGGAAAGCATCTGAGAGATGCCGCTTTCATTTCAGGCAGAGGGAGCTCATTTTGAAGCCTCCGGAGCTGCCGTGAAACGGGATCATCGCCCGCCGGGGAGCTCCGGAGCCCACGTGAGGGCTCCCCATCCCAGCCTGGCACGTGAGGGAGGCAGTGCCACTCGGGAACGTCGGGAATTGGGCTGGAATCCTCGTGCTGCGGCAGCACAGGGCTGGCTTTGCAGCTCTGGGAGGATTCTGCGGTGGTTCCGGCGCTCGGGCTCGTGACTGCAAACCCCGACAGCGGTGTCTGGTAAATCACACTCACCCTACCACCAAGGGAGGGTGATTTTGTCTCATCTTGCTGTACATGAGTCCTCTTTCTTTAGTTATTTATTTTAAATTTCCTTCCCCTCACGCCCTGTCTCACTTTGCACTTTGCTGCCCTTCTCCTGCACACAGAGAGCAGGACAAACCTCCTGACTCCAGAAGCCATTCCAGGCCCAGGCATTAAAGCTCCAAAGAGGGGGAAGGGCTTCCCACTGCCAGAGGACAGGGTAAGATGGGATATTGGGAAGGAATCCTTTCCTGGGAGGGTGGGCAGGCCCTGGCACAGGCAGCCCAGAGAAGCTGTGGCTGTCCCATCCCTGGGAGTGTCCAAGGCCAAGCTGGAACAACCTGGGCCAGTGGAAGGTGTCCCTGCCCACGGCAGAGGGTGGGACTGGATGGTCTTTGAAGTCCCTTCCAAACCATTCAGTGATTCTGTGAAGATTGTTCCTCTCCACAGGTCATAGAATCATAGAATCATAGAATAGATTGGGTTGGAAAAGACCTCCAAGATCATCAAGTCCAACCCCTGATCCAACTCTAATTACTATATCACGGCACTAAGGGCCATGTCCAATCTCTTTTTAAAAACTTCCAGGGATGGTGAATCCACCACCTCTCTGGGCAGGCCATTCCAATACCTGATCACCCTCTCTGTAAAGAATTTCTTCCTAACATCTAACCTAAACTTCCCCTGGCAGAGCTTGAGCCCATGTCCCCTTGTCCTGTTGTTGGTTGCCTGGGAGAAGAGACCAACCCCCACCTGGCTATAACTTCCCTTCAGGTAGTTGAAGAGAGTGATGAGGTCACCTCTAAGCCTTCTCTTCTCTAGACTAAACAATCCCAGCTCCCTCAGCCTCTCCTCATAGGACTTGTGCTCAAGTCCCTTCACCAGCCTGGTTGCTCTTCTCTGGACCCGCTCCAGCACCTCAATATCCTTCCTGAACTGAGGGGCCCAGAGCTGAACACAACACTCAAGGTGCGGCCTCACCAACGCAGAGTACAGGGAAGGATCACTGCCCTGCTCCTGCTGGCCACACTGTTCTTGATGCAGGCCAGGATGCCATTGGCCTTCTTGGCCACCTGGGCACACTGCTGGCTCATGTTCAGCCTCCTGTCAATCAGCACCCCCAGGTCCCTTTCCACCTGGCTGCTCTCCAGCCACTCTGTCCCCAGCCTGTAGCGCTGCAGGGTTGTTGTGGCCAAAGTGCAGGACCCGGCACTTGGCCTTGTTGAACTTCATCCCATTGGAGTCAGCCCAACTCTCCAGTCTATCCAGGTCCCTCTGCAGAGCCCTCCTGCCTTCTGGTAGGTTGACACTCCTCCCAACTTGGTGTCATCAGCAAATTTGCTGATGATGGACTCAATCCCCTCATCTAGATCATCGATAAAGATGTTAAACAGGACTGGGCCCAGCACTGATCCCTGGGGGACACCACTGGTGACCGGCTGCCAGCTGGATGCAACCCCGTCCACCAGCACTCTTTGGGCCCGGCCCTCCAACCAGTTCTTAACCCAGCAGAGAGTGCCCCTGTCCAAGCCATGGGCTGCCAGCTTTTCCAGGAGTATATTATGGGAGACAGTGTCAAAGGCTTTGCTGAAGTCCAGATAGACCACATCCACAGCCTTCCCCTCGTCCACCAGGTGAGTCACCTGATCGTAAAAGGAGATCAGGTTGGTCAAGCAGGATCTGCCTCTCCTAAACCCGTGCTGGCTGGGTCTGATTCCTTGTCCATCTTGTAGGTGCTGTGTGATTGCACACAGGATGATCTGTTCCATAACTCTGCCAGGCACCGAGGTCAGGCTGACAGGCCTGTAGTTACCAGGGTCAGCCTTGCAGCCTTTTTTATGGATTGGGGTGATATTTGCCAACTTCCAATCATGTGGGACCTCCCCAGTGAGCCAGGACTGTTGGAAGATAATGGAGAGCGGCTTGGCAAGCTCTTCTGCCAGCTCCCTCATTACCCTAGGATGGATCCCATCTGGTCCCATAGACTTGTGAGGATCCAGATGGCTCAGTAAGTCACCATCTTTTGGTGGGCTCTGCTAAGCTGGAAACACCCCCTTTCTCCTTGCTTCCTTCCAGACCCCCTTGTGGGTGAGATGAGGAGGAGAATCCAGCTCTCCTGGACAGGCAGGATGCTCATCCCCAAACCAGCCCCTTCCTCCTGCTGCCAAGCAGCTGACCAGTCCAGGTGCTGTGTGTGAGCCAAGCAGCTTGTCCCCATGCAGGCTTCCAGCTTTGGAAACTATAAAACCCTCCCAGAGGATGAAAGGATCAGCAACCTGCAGCTGCTGTAACTCATCAGCTCTTTGAGATGCTCTGCTTCCCAGTGGATTTTCTCCCTGAGCTCCCAGCAGAGAATGCAGAGGCCAGAGCAGGCTGGTTTCCACATAGGTGACTTCAGGGCAACTGGAGGCTCCCAGTCCTTCCCCCCTTTTGTCCTTCCTTGGCTGAGAGCCTGAAGGCAGACCAGTCAGTCTCCAGGCACGTGCCAGGTGTGGGGTATTGGAGGAGGGCACGGGCTCCAGTGGATGCACAAGGAATGAGGTGGCACTTCTGGGAGCTGCAGTGCTCCCAATTTCCTGAAACACTGGTCTTTGCAGGAGGAGCAGCCCCCGTCCCTGGGAGTGGCCCAGCTGCTTCAGAGGGAGGTGTGGGACCACTGGGAAATGCTTGTCCTGCTGGGAATTGTCATAATGCCGCAGGTTTAATGAAGCAGCATCAGTCACTGGAAGGAAAAAACAAGTGGAAGGAAGTTGGAAATTGGAAGGGGTGTTATTTTCTCTCTGTTTTTTTGTTTTGTATTTCTTTTTTTAAGAGGGAAAGAATTATTAGCAGCTCTCCAGGGAGACCTCAGAGCCCTTTCCAGGGCCTAAAGGGGCTCCAGGAGAGTGGAGAGGGACTGGGGACAAGGCTATGGAATGACAGACAAGGGGGAATGGCTTCCCACCGCCAGAGGGCAGGGTTAGATGGGATATTGGGAAGGAATCCTTCCCTGGGAGGGTGGGCAGGCCCTGGCACAGGCTGCCCAGAGAAGCTGTGGCTGCCCCATCCCTGGAAGTGTCCAAGGCCAGGTTGGACAGGGCTTGGAGCCACCTGGGATGAAATAAGGTGAAATAAGATGGTTTTTAAGGTCCCTCCCAACCAAACCATTCCATGGTTGTATGATTCTAATTCGGTGTTTTAATAGTTTTTGACAGCTTGGTAGAAAAAGCCACATCTTACCATTGGAACTGTTTTTCCTGCTGTACCCCTTTTTTTTTCCACCTTCCCAGAGCAGCAGGCTGTTCTCACTCCCAAGCCCTGTTGTTTTGTCCTCGTGGGTGTGGCTGGTGTGGCCAAGGACACCCCAATTTCCTGGGCTGGCTGAACCCTGCAGAGAGCAGGTCTGACCATCACTCAGGGGCAGACCTGGAATCCCCTGAAGGCAAGGGCTGTAACGACCTTTCGGGCAGGACTGGGAGGTCTGGAGCTGGGATCTCCCGTTTGGATGTCATCTCGTGGGGATGCCAGCCCGTGTCGCATCAGGACACATCAGGAAGCATCAATTTGGCTTAGGGGGGGCAGACCCCCCCCCCCCCAGCATAATCCATCCCCCCGCCCCGAATGCGAAGAGGAAATGTTATTTCTATGGTGACACAGCCTTGAGAGCGCCTAATCTGGATTTATTGAGGTCGTAAGACTGACTTAGCACGGCGGTACCTAGACTGGAGGATAAATAGAAGTCTTCTATTTATAATGCTGCCAATCTGGCGCCGCTCGCGAGCGCTAAAAATAAAACCCCGTGCGAAGCGCAGCGAATTAATGGGTGCCCTCCTCGCGTTGTCTGCCAGCCAGCCCCTCATCCTGCTGCCAGTGTTTGGCAGAGGTCCTGCCCAGCCTTGCTGAGCCCCCACCTCTTTGGAGGGCTGGGCAGCAGCAGCCCCGTGGCAGCGGTTCCTCCTTTCCCTCTGGGTGTGCCCGCTTGTGCCCCCTCTGCAGGCAGGAATTAGGAGCCCTCACAGTCCAACCGTGCAAGCAGAGCCCGGGGAAAAGGGAGTTTGTTGTGCTGGAGTGCCTAGCACGTGTTTCTGGTCCCTGTCTGTGGAGCTGATCGATCCAGGCTCCCCCAGTTCGGAGCCTCCGAAGTGGAGAGGATGCACCAGACACAGGATGGGCAGAGCCTGGACTGGCACAGCAGCACAAACAACCCCAGTCCTGCTGTGCTGGCACGGTCCCCCATGCAGTAATCCCAGGACAGTGGACCTGGATTAACGTGTAAAGTGATCTGTTTAAGCTGCAGATAAACCCACCATGGATCCTCTCCCCCGGGAGTGAAGCGAGCCTCACCTTCCAACTATATGGAGTTTATTGCCAAACGTGGGTTTTTTAATATGAAATCTCATTACTGCTCAACTCACCCATGTAAAATCTGTCTTAGCTTTCCCCTGCTCAGCAGAAGGGTCCCAGACCCTGCCCCCTGCTTGGGTTGTAGTGGTGAGTAGCCTCCAATCTTTATTCTCTCCGATAGGAAAGCAGAAACCTGGATTTTATCATTAACACTGTTGTGGACAAGATCTTAAGGCAAGATACCTGCTGCTGTGATTTAACACCTGCCTGCCTTCCCTTACGAGGTTTCCTGGCTTTGTATTTATTTTCAGAGGACTTCAGGCTCCCCTTTCCTGCTGTTTGCAGCTACCGAGGTCTACAAACATCACCCTGCTGGACCTACCTGCTGCACACACAGCTCTGCTGGAGGGACAGGATGGGGTTCAGGTCATGGAATCACAGAATATCCACGAGGATCACTGAGTCCAGCTCCTGGCCCTGCATGAGACACCCCAGCAATCCCCCCATGTGCTGGAGCGCGGACGCCAGAACGGTGCTCCCCTGCTCTCCTCATGACTTCAAGAGGTGACCTGAAGGAGAAGAGCAGCTTCTGGCTGGGCAGCTGCTAAGCAGGGCTGCCAGGAACCCTGTGATGTCCTCCTGGTGCAGAACAGAGCACGGTGCTCAGCCCGTGGTTTGAGTTGGGATGCGGGATCAGACGCGACACGGAACCGACAGACATGGGTGTCCCTCTAAGCTCATCACCAGGTTTGTTGGCTTCTGCCTTTGGCTTTTTCTACCTGGGACTTCAGTTTGGAGAGGGTAAATGCCAGACAGACAGAGGAGGGAGGGGGAATCATTCCCAAACCTCCTGTCCCAGAATGGAACACAACAAGAGTGTGGGCACGACGGGCCCTGGGAACGAGGAGAAGCAGCTGGACCGAAATGCTGCTTTACAGAGCAGCTTGTGGGGGAGGCTGGAGGCAACAGGCGGCAACCTGATGGTCCTTTGGGTGGTCACACAAAGCCAGACCACCCTAAACCCGAGGTGCAGCAGCTTGGAAAGGAGCTGCAGCCCTGCCAAGCTGCCTGCAGCAGTTTGGAGCCCGGGGAGTGGGACAGCGTGTGCCAGGCAGGCAGGTGGCACTTCTTGGGCACAGTTGGGCAGTCTTGGAGAGGAAAGCCAGAAGGCCAAGTAATTCCAGCACAGTGAGTGCAGTTAAGTGCTGCCATATGGCTCCTTTTGCAGAGGAAGAAGCACACACAGGGAGTGAGCCATCCCACTGCTTTTCCTTTAAAATGAACTTTCTGCTTCTTCTGCAAGTGCTGGAAAAACTTGGTGGCCTGGGGGAGGGGGGTGTCACAGGAGTTGGCATTTCAGAGAAATGAGCCCCAGGGAATGCAGGAATTCCTCGTGGATATTCTCGGGTCATTTGCTCTGCCTCCACTACACCTAGTGGCCAGAGGGCACTTCTAAGGGTGGAAAACCTGAGGTGGATCAGAGAAGAGGGAGGAATTAAAACTTAAAGGAGGATGGGGGGTAAACCCCTGCCGTGCCAGGTGCGGAAGGAGGGAGAGGGAGTGGCTGCTGCTGGCCAAAAATGTTTTAACCTGTTAGAAAACCACTGTAACCACAAACCCAGATCTGAACAGTTTGATTTCCTGCAGGGTTTTTGATGCAAGTGGGGAGGGGACTGAGCAAATATTTCCCAGCAAGGGCAGGAAAGAAAACAGTGGGATTTTCTGCTTCATTTAGTAAATCCATCGCTTTTGTCCACAGTCTGTCTTAACCCTTTCAGCTCCACTGACATCTCTGGTGTGGGGTTACCAACACAGGCACAAAACTGACCTGCTGGCAACACTTCTGCTTGAGTGCCTCTCTCTGCAGATGGAGAATGAAAGGCTTTGGGTGAAAACCAGAGCCTGGATAACAAGTGATGTGTTTGGCAGTGCTGGGTCAGTGGCTGGACTCGATCCTGGAGAGGTTTTCCAACCTCTGTGATTCTGAGAGGCTGGGAAGACAGCAGAGAGCAATCCTTATAGCAGAGTGTCTGTGGGAAGCTCTTTTGGGGAAGAGCATCCTGAAGCAGGCTCAGAGGGAGGGATGGGAGATGGAGCAGAGAGACAGCAGGCAGGTGGGAGGAGGGAAGATGAGGAGCTTCAGAGCAGGGCAGCAAATAACACGTGTGTTTGCAGGCTGGGAATCTTTGGGGGCTGGAGGATGGAATTTACTGACTTGTAGCAACGGTAGAGGAAGATTTCTTCACCCCCCACCACACCAGGCTCCTTCCAGAACCAAACCCAGCACTGCTCCCAGTCCACAGCAATGGACCTTTAGGCACTGGAAGGGGCTCTCAGGTCACCCTGGAGCCTTCTCTTCTCCAGGTGAGCCCCTACAGCCCTCCCAGTCTGGCTCCAGCCCTCAGAGCACCTCCGTGGCCTCCTCTGATTCCAGTTCAGACCAGGAGGAAAGACGTTTTAAAAAATTACTTACTGGACACTGTGATGGAGGAGGGGGGGGGGAGAGGGGAGAAAAAACCAACAAAGAACAGGTTTAAACCCAGCATTTCTGCTGATGATTGTTTTTGAATCCCCACAGTGTGTGTTTTGCTCAGCTGAGTCACCTGAACACACACACACACACAAGTGGGATGAGCACAAACAGTGCAGCTTGTCCATGTGCCCATATCCCTGCAAACTCCAGCTGCCTCAGCCTGCTGGGCATGACCTGCATCCCACCTGCCTCTCTCCAATCCTTAGGGATGCTCCCAGCCCTGGCAGCTCTTCCACTGTCTGCTAACACACTTATCCCGTGCCAGGGAATGCTTTCCCTGCTGCCTCGGGGCTCGTGCTGCAGACAGGGCATTGCCCATTCCTGCCTGGATGTGCCTTTGTTGGAATACATATTTCCACTGGAGATGCACAGTGGTGTCTTTAACCCAGTGGCAGCCTCTGCAGCTGCTCCTGCAGTTTGGGAGTGCCTTGGGAGCTGATTTCTCCTTACCCTCAGCAGCCCCAGGCACACCATGGCCAGGGTTTCCTTGGGAATCTGGTCCTGGCTCTCAGATCAAGCTGAGCTGGTGCAGAGAGGCTCTGTGAAGCCACACCCTGCACGTGTGGACCACATGTCCTGCCAAGGGCTCGGTGGCTTTCTGTGCCTCTGACCCAGCCATTCGTGGCTACAGCAATTACAGGGGGGCACTTGAGCTTCGGGGAGGCCCAACCTGCTCTAAATCTGAGCTGTGAGAGGGTAGATTTAGGTCAGATGTTAGGAAAAAAATTCTTCCCTGTGAGGGTGGGGAGGCCCTGGCACAGGTTGTGGATTCCTCATCCCTGGAAGTGTCCAAGGCCAGGTTGGACGGGGCTTGGAGCAACCTGGGCTGGTGGGAGGTGTCCCTGCCCACGGCAGGGGGGGAATGAGATGAGCTTTAGGGTCCATCCCAAACCATTCTGAGACTCTCTGATTGTAGATTTGCAGCACTGGGCAGGTTTCTTCCTCTTCAGCTGTCACTGACAGTGTTTGGTGCAAGCAGTGGGACATCTGCAGGGAATGGTTTGCTGGGGGAGGAGGCACCTCGGGGTCTGTGTGTTTGTCCTTCTCTGTGATGGATTGGCCACCTCTGGTAGGACTTTGGCAGACCCCTGGGAGCGTAAATGGTGCTCCTGGTAAATTTTCTGCCTGCTGGGATATGGTGGAAGGAAGAGCAGATGATGGAAGATACCTGTGAGTATCCCTGGATGGGAACAGAGGACGCCAAGCCAAAGGCTGGGCAAAGTCACTCTGTCTTGTAATAAGGGTAATAAGGTGCTCTGCAGGCATGTTATCAATATTCCCAAAATCCAAAAGACCACTGCCCCAGCTGCTCTTTGCTGGTAGGGGCTGTTTGCAACCCTCGAATCCCAGAACGATTTGGGTTGGAAGGGAACTTAAAGTTCATCTTGGAGGGCAGGGACACCTTCCACTAGACCAGGCTGCTCCAAGCCCTGTCCTACCTGGCCTTGGCTCCAAACACAGGAGCTCTCCCATCTCCAGTGGTGGCTGGGCATCCAAACACGTGCTCCAGAGGCTCCCTGTGAGTAGCTGTGTCGTGTGTGTGTAGCTGTGCAATCACCAGAACGGATCCTGCAGATAATCTTCTTCCTCGGCGGAAATATTCCACTTATTTTTATCCTCGTTTCCTGTCTCTCAGCCAGTTAATTATCCCTCAGAGGACTTTCTCTATAAGTCTTTTTCGGGAAGGAAACTTGGCGAGCACTGCCTGAATGTCCTTGTCCATTTACATGAGAACAGTGGGTTCAATTTTAGTACCTTCTGGAGAAAAAGTCTTTTTTAATTTCTTTTATTTTTTTGTGTGTGTGTGAGGCTGTGGTTGTTTTTTTCCCCATCTGTGACAAGCTGCCAGAGCTTTCCTCTCTGGATCTTGCCTGCCATGATGCACGTGCAAGCAGCTGTCTCTGCATGGGGAGTGTGAAGAAGAGGCACTTGGTACTCCAACATATCCACGGATGGACAGCTGGGCCGGCTCCAAACCTGCTCACCCCACGCTGGGGTCGTGCCACTCTGCTCTCCTGCTCATCAGCCTCGTCAGTGGATGCCCTCGAGGAGGAATTTCGAATGCAAACCCCTTTTTGTTGCCGTAGCAACCGCTCGGTGTGGAAATGGGGAAACTTCCCGGGGAGCTCGGAGCCGCCTCTGGAGATGCTGGGGGGTTGTGGTGGGTGTTGTAGCAGGAGCACAGGTTCACCCCACCTGTCCCAGGTTCCTCCCTGCTGGAGTCCCACTGCCAGGTGCCAGTGATTCCCGAGGGGAACAGCTTGGGCTTAACCTGCAGGTAAGTTCTGGTGCCCACCAGCCCTGGCTCAGAGCAACCTGGGCTGGTGGAGGGTGGCACGAGGTGGACTTTAGGGTCCCTTCCAACCCAAACCCTGCTGGGCTTCTGTGATCTGCAGTCCCGACCTGGGGTTTCACATCAGCCCGATCTGCAGCCAAAGGAGCTCTCCGGAGCAGCAACCAAGACTTGAGGAGCTCCCCGTGAAAACACGGAGCGTGCTGGCTGCATCCTCCCTTCTGCCACCTGCCAGGCACAATCTGGAGCTGTCAGACTTGCTGCTGGGCCCTCCCTGAGTGGGGCCAAGCCTGGAGATTTCTTTCCATGCTGGAGTTAGGAGGGACTGGGGAGGGAGTTTCAGCACTTACAGAAGTCCACGCCAGACGAGACGGGTGCTTTGTGATGCATCACGTCTGTGTCCTCAACTCAAACGGCCTCTTTGGGTCAAAACTCAGGGAAAACCTGCCAAGGCTGGTGTGGCACTGCTGGAATTGCCCTCCTGGGCCTTGCTCTGTCCTGTATGGAATGGCACCTCCTGGGCCTGGACGTGGCCTCAGTGCTTGAGGGATCTTTGTTCGTGTTCAAAACCCTCATACAGAGCAGGGCAAGTTGCTTTCTCTCTGAGGCATCTCAAGTACTGACTTTGGGGGTTCTGTCCTCCCTCCTGACTTTTGTATCACTCCCTAACAAGACATGGTCTTTTCCTAGTGCAGGTTGGTGGAAATTCCCAGAAACCTAAGAAGGACATCAACCCTCAACTTGTAATCGATTTGGCTTCTGCCTCTCCTGTGGCTTCACCAGACTTTTAATGCACCAAAACTTGCCTGGGGCGACTCCTTCCCTGTCTCCAGAGATTCCATCCAGCCTTGTCTGATGCCGAGGCACAGACAGGCAGAGCCTGGAAGCCAACCAAGTGATTGCACCTTCCCAGGTTACGGAGTGTAAGTGAATCACAGCAGTAGGATGTGCATGGGACGTGAGTCCGTGGGATGTGTGAGGTTAAAAGTGCTCCTGGTCCTTCCTCTGTGTCGCCTCCCGGGGAGCAAAGTGCTGCCTGCGTTTTCCAAAGGGTCATCCCCTCTCTTCTGCCTCCAGTATGCTGAGTTAGCACCTCTCCATCCAGCAGGAATTCCTGCTGGGAGCTGGGAGCGGTGCCTGAGGAAGGACCCCTGTAAGATGCTGTTGGGATGACAGTGGTGTGACAGCATCCATTTCCCGGGATGCGTTCCTGGGAAATTCTCTCTTAGCAGGAACGCAGAACGTCCTGCATTTGCTTGCTCTTGTGGGAACCCCCCAGCCCTGCAATGCCCACCACGCTTCTATCCCTCCCCCTTCCCAAGGGATGTCTGCAGGGGCTCCTGAGGCAGATTGGCTTTGGCTTTTAGCTGAGTTTTGGGCCTGTTCTCATCTGGACTAGGTGATGTTGGCTGTGCCAGAGAAGCTCTTCCCACAGGAACGCATCTTCAGGCACTTGTGCCCAAGGAATGGGGCCCATTAATTTCCTTTCCATGCACAGACCCAGCTGCATGCTCAGCTTTCAAAAGCCAAAACTCATTAATGGAGAATTTTCTTCCCCAGGTGCAGCAGCATCCCTGCCTCCTGCACATCCATGTCCACAGAGGTGATTCCACCCACCTCCACTGCCTAAGCCATGGAGAGATGGCCCATCCCAGACTCTCACCCTTGGATTTAGCTCCTCTGGCCTCCTGGCAGGACTCCTTGGATGGGAGGACTGATTTTAGGCAAGGTAGCCTCTGACAATGTTTTTAACCATGTGAAAAGTGCAACTTAAATGCTTCATTGACACCACCAGCTTGAAGACATGGAGCCAAAACAAATTATCCCCTTTTATTGATAAGGGGTTCTCTTTTTTTCTTTCCAGTGAGATGAGCAAGCCTGAGCATAGCTGTGGAAACATCAGGTGGATGGGAAACAGGGTGAAGGAGAGTCAACAGGATGTGTTTGGAAGTGGTCAGGGATTCAGTTGGGAACTGACTTCAGAAATGTCTTTCTTCATCAGCTGGGCACAGCTGGAGGAGCCTGTGGATCACTTCTGCAGATGAGACAGTGGGGAAGAGGAGCTGAATGTCCCACAGGAAGGATGGAGTGAGAAGCAGCACTGTGAGCCACTGTACTGCAGGTACTGTGTTTGCATCTTTTATCTGTTAGTAAAATCTGGTTAATGTCCTGTAAAAAAACTTCTCCCACTGGCTGCACCTCTCATCCATGTGAACTGCCACAGGAAGAGGAAGTGGGGTAGAAACTAATTGCAGGATGACTGTAGGCACAGGAGGATGTTGCAGTCCTAGGAGATGGATTTAGCAGAGAGGGAAGCATTGCTGCCTCCTGAATCTTGGATTAGTCCTTGTCCAGCAAGTAGCTCAGGAAGAGCAAGCTGCCAGTGGAGGAGCAGGCAGTGGACACCCTGTCCTGCAAGGGGATGCTAAACAGTGGGTGCTGGAATCAGAAAACAGGCTGTGAGTGCAGCTGTTCCCCCCTTGCAAAGATCAGGACATTAGGATGCCGTGCCACAGGATGGGGGAACATGGATAGGGTGGGAATTCAGCAGCCTTTCCCATTCTCCTAGTGATGCCACGGAAGCACTGCTATTCCCACCCAGGAAAACTCCTGCCTCGAGTGTCAAGGCCTGCCCAGGGCAGGCTGAAAGCTGGCAAGGAGCGGGTGATTGCACCCTGATGGTTTTGCTTTCCCAGCCTGGGCGTGTGCACTTGTCCTCCAGCCACCTCCATTTCCAGCCTCTCCAAACCTGTAATCTCCCTGCCAGCTCCCTGCCCACACTGCAGCATCACCAATGGCTAGGTGAGGAAGCGACCCTACGTGTTTTTGGTGGAGTTAGTGCAATCCTAGAGTAATTAACCGGGGTGACTCTCGGTGGGAGCGCTCCCGGTGCCAGAGGGACTGCTGGGCTGGTACTGCCCTGCTGGGATTGCTCTGCAGGAGGTTCAGGGCTGGGGCTGCTCAGCAGCAACACCCTCTGGGAGGGAGCAGGGTGAGAAGTGCACTCTCAGCAGGCTGGGAATGGTGTAACTGCTTGGCAGTTCCCTCTGCCCTGTGGGCTTTCCTGAACCCAGCCCAGGACGTGCCCTGGCACGGGGCTCGCCCTCGATGCCAAGCTCCGAGCGCGGATGACTTTCCTGAGCAAAGCACTGAGCTCCCTGGGCCTGAACACTCACCCTGGCTTTCCAGGGAGGCTGTTCTGCCCTGGAACAAGAAATCCAAACCAGCATTTACTCTTTGGCTCATCCTCAGAGAGCTCTCTGTGTTTAGGTCCCGACCCTCACCTGCAGCAAGCAAGGTTAATTTGGGCAAGGAAGCACATCCCTGATGTGATTGTGAAACCCTTGTGTGGCACTGACTGGTGAAGACAGATTTTCTCAGTAAAACTAAATCAGCCTCTGCTGAGGGCCCACCCCATGCAATTGTGGCTCCTGTTGCTTCCAAGTAGTCGGAGGGAGGATGTAATTTCTGCACCGTGCAGGCACCAGGCATTGTGTTCAGTTCAAAGGTGGTAATGTGATTCCCCTCTTTGATTATTAATATAATCAAATACTCATTTACAGCACATGTTGGCAAATACAGGCTTGACATAAAACAATCCACCCCTAGGGTTTAGTGTTTAATGCAATTATTCTTCAGAGCAATTGAGCCTCCTTTGCCTAAACTGTGGCAACTGCCCCAGCCCTGGAAGTGTCCAAGGCCAGGCTGGACGGGGCTCGGAGCAACCTGGGCTGGTGGAAGGTGTCCCTGCCCGTGGCAGGGGGTGGGATGGGCTGCAAGGTCCCTTCCAACTCAAACCATTCTGGGATTCCACGATTTCAAGCAGTCCCTACCAGCCAGGAGCAGCTGCAGGGTCTGGGTTCTGTGCTTGGGATGGCACAGCTGTACAGATGTGGTCAGACTGATCCCAAGGCTCGGGAACTGGGGGAAAGCTGAGTTTCCTGAGGTCCTCCTGGACCGTGCTCGCTTTCAAGCCCATCTCCTGGCTGTGGGTGCCTCCCTCCCTGGGGCTGTGGGGAGATGACATTTCCCTGCAGTGCCATTGCCCTGCAGAGAAGCTGAGCAGCACCCCTGGCTGAGCAGGGCGTTTCGTGGCTTCCCTGCGCTCGGGAATTTTGGTCTCCCCCAGTTTCTGTGCCAGAGGTGGCTTTTTCCACCTGCTTTCCTGCCCCCTGCTTGCCTCATCCTTCCACATGAGGGTTCTTCTCCCTGGCACTGGGAGCAACAGAGAGCAGGGTGAGCTGCTGCCCTCTCAGCAAGGCACCCATGGGTGCAGCACTGGGGTCTGGATGAGTCCCCAGGGGCACAGAGGGATGGAGCTGCAGTTTTCAGCCCACAGCCCAGCCTGGCTCTGCCCTCCTTCCATGCCACGTGGACACTGCTTCTCCAAATTTGCTGGCTGAAGGGGAAGTGCCACAGCGGTGATGGATGCAGGGGAGCAGCCTTATGACCATGACACAGCTCCTGTGAGTCAGCAGCTCACCCTCTCGGCTTTCAGGCTGGCCAAGGCCTCTAAATGTTTGCTGGGAAGGCAGATGCAACTGAAGTGGCAGGGTGAAGTGCTCCCAGGGAGGAGAGGATGGATTTTCAGCCACAGGGAGAGCAGGGATTAGGAGAGGGAGGCATGATCCCACTCTGGCTGCTCTCCAGCGTGGTGACTAACCCATGGCAAAGGATTCCAGCAGGAGTCCTGCCCTCAGTGTGGCCTTCTCTGTGGGCTCCACAAAGCACAGAGAGGGAAGCAAAGCTCTCGACATCTCAGGGACTTGCTAATGACACTCGCAGCCCTGGTGTCTCGGTCTCCTGGGTGGACACACCGGACCATATCCCTGCCTGAGGTTCCTCAGCAGCTGCAGGATGGATGCCAGGGGCATTTTTGAGACCTCCAGGCTGCACCCTCTGTGTCATTCACACCAGGTGAGGGTGGTTCCTTTGTGGCTTTCCAGGAAAGGAAAACAGATCCATGCTGAGCTGCGGGGCGGAATATTTGGTGAACTTAGAGGGGGTGAGCTGGGGGTGAATCATCTGTGTGTGCCCTCTGCTCTCCAAACCACTTCTCTCCTGGGGCTTTCAGCACTGACTAATGAAGGTAATGAATCTTCCCTCATCATCCTTTCCCTCTGTGGGATCTCAGTGGCATCTCAGGAGCTCAAAGCCACCTTAGTGAGATTCTGAGGGTGATGGAGAAGAGGAGGCAGTAGGAGATTACAAGTTAACTTGTGCTGTCTCATCTCTCAGCCGTGCTCTGCCCCTTGCCCAAGAGCGTTCCTGGAGGAAACAGCTCCAAAGAGGAGTATGCAGGTGCCCTGTGGGATGGGAGGGAAGTGTCTGTCCCTCATGGGGAACGAGGGAACAAGGCTGCTCTGGGCTCAGCTGCTTGCTGACATCACAGAACCTGAGACACAAGAGCACAGCCAACGCCACGGTCACGCCTTGCCTGTTGGAAGATGTTCATCCTCCATCCCTGCCGAGCTGCCAGGCAGGAAAAGCCTGTGCCAGGCACTTACAGCTCCCTGTTGCTCTACCCTTCAGGATTTCAGTCTCCAGGTTTTGGCTTCCAGCTCGGATTTTCTCCTGGGCAGACCTTGTGTCTCTGCTCCGAGTTTATCCAGCTGTTATCAACAGATGCACTTCCTTGGTGACTCACGTTCCCCAACCACATCCCCTTCTCCCTCCTGCCCCCACCCACCACAACTGAGTCACTTGGCCTCCTGTCACAAGCCAGGAGCCTCTTTCTTCACTCGTGCATGGAGACACTTCCAGCCCAGCCTGATGTAAGCTCCTCCTGAGTTCCTCTTTCCCAGCAGGCTCCCTGACCTGCACCCTGCCCAGACCAGATTCATCCACACTTCTGCTCCCTTAACGCAGTGTTGTCCTCCCCACCAGCTCCCCAGCCCAGCCCAGTCCTAATGGAGGTTACTCAAGAGCCCAGCACTCCCCACTCTTGTGTGTAAGATGGGACTTGTGGAGGTGGGAGCTGAGAGAACCCAGCGCTCCAAAGCCTTTCCCACCTTCTGACAATCCTGCAGCCTGCAGGAAGTGCTGTGCCATAGAAAGAGCAGCTCAGCCTGATCCCCACAGAGCCCAGTGGTTTACAATTCCCTTCCCAAGCTCCCTGTTTTTGCACAGTGTCAAGTGCAGTTGCCATCACCAGGCTTTGAGGATTTGTCCCATGGCCAGACAGGTTGGGCCTGGGCTGGACACACCAGACCAAACTGGTATTCAAACTGGGGGCACACTGGGAGCTGTTTTCTTTAATGTTTCCTGCTGTTGGTCAGTGGCTCCATCACCACTCTAAGCTTTTGGAGAGGTTTTCTTTGTCAGTGGACAAAAATGGTTTCCTTTCCTTATCTCTTTATGCCAAAGCCTGTTCGTTTCTGACTCAAATTGATTCACTCAAGACTGTCATTTTTATGGAGTGCAGATTCACTGGAGGATGAGCTGAATTCCACAAAATCTCCCTGCAGGTCTGATAAATCACCTGGCCTCTTCCCCAGCGTCAGCATCGTCAGTTAAAGAGCATTTTCAGCTGCTCAGGGAGGGGAACGTTGACAGTCAAGGTGGCTGTTTCCTTGCACCCACTGCTGAGAGAGCTGATTCAGGGCCATCTCTGCCCCATTAGAGGAGAGGTTGATGTAGTGTTTCATCTTCCCAGCATCTTTGTGGAGCCACGTGGTGTCACTTCCTGGCATGGGATGGCCACGCTCCAGATAAAAACATCACCTTGTGTGTTTAGGTACAAACCAGGGTGAATTTTCACTTGGGCATCGCTGCCCTTCCTGTGGAGTAAGAGGGGCTGGCAAAGCCCAACCCATGGGGAAGGAGCGTGGTGTGGGTGCAATCCCGGGCTGGGAAGTGCTGGATCAAACCTTGCTTTAGTCATCCCGAGGGAGCAGGCGCAGCCACTGCATGTCCTGAGGTCAGACAGGGAGGGGGAAGATGGATATCAGGCTGCTGAAGTCGGGAATGTCATCATATCCCCACCCACCCTCCACCACAATCTTCCAGGCAGGCTCAGAAACCTGTGGCTGCTTCTTGTCAAGGCAGGGTTGTTGTTCTTCTGCCTGGCACCTGAGGAGCTGGGCTGGGCTGGCCCTGTGCCCTCCCTTTCCCCAGAGCCCTGCAGGAAAGGTGCAGTGGGTGGGGGAGCTGCACCCCAGTTGCCCAAGCCCCCTCCTCAGTGGCCCAGCTCCTCCTCACGTGCTGGGAACGCTGCTTAGGAACACTGCCCCTGGATGAACGTTTTGCCCTGTCCCTGCTTTATGCCAGAAGAAAACCCTCCTGGTTGTAAACACCTTTCCACTGGGAAAAGGTGGTTAATTTACCACGGTGCTGCCTGATTTACTTGGTTCTGACCTGCTCCCTTCTCCTTTTCCCCCCACTGCTGGTCCATCCATAGCTGCATCTGTTCCCCTCTCCCTCCTTGCCCTCCTTTGATCTCCTCTTTTCCATTCCCCTGCTTCATCCCCAGGACCAGCAGGGATCCCTGCCAGCCCGTGGCTTTGGCTGCTCCCTTGGGCTGGCAGGGCTCTGCAGATGTGTAAACACCTCCTCCTTGCTGCCAGAAACCACCGGACTGTCCCTCCTGCCCGAAAGGACAGAATAAATCCAGTGTTTTGGTCTCCTGCTGGAGCAGGATGGTGCTGTGTCCCTCCCAAAGGCAGTTGTTTACCTCCAGAAATGATACAGGATGACACAGGAGTAGGATTGTTGCAGAATTTTTGGAGGCTGAGTGGAAATGCAGTTGTGGTGAACCAATCATCGCTCAGAAATGTCTTTTGTTTTACCAGTGAGGGGTTGGTTTTTCCCCCTCTTTCTCCTTAGGGGCTGCAGGCTCCAAAGGCACTGCTTGCTCTTGGGATTGCCTTCCCCAGGCACAGATGCTGGAATGGCTGTGAGCTCAGGCTGCCTGGGAAGTGAACCTCAGTGCCCACCCCAGCACTGCTACGTCCCTGTCACCACCAGGGGACAACACTCCCAAGTGAACATCGAGGGCCACCAAGTGCCACTGTCACCTTTTGTGCTGTTCAGAGCCCCCCTGGGTTTCAAGGCAGCTGAGTCACTTGTGATTCATCCAGAAGCCTGAAGCAGAGCAGGGTAATAAATGCCATGTTCTCATGTCCCCAGCTGGTGCTGTAACCTCTTCTGAACTCCCTGCTCACCTCCCAGTCTCTGGAGAGCTGGAAGAGCACGCCAGCTCAGGGTGTCCCCAGGAAAGGGCCAAGCCCAGCAGAAGGGACTCAGTCCAGGGCATTTGGGCAGGGAGTGGCTGGGAATCCTGTGCCCTTCAGTCCTGCTGCTGTCTCATGGCAGACAGGAGGAGGTGGAAGGGAATTACAGAGAGAGCTGCATGGCCCAGTGAGGAACAGAAATCCAAGAGCAGGGCACTCAGTTCTCATCGTGGTTCAGAGCCTTGGCTAAACCAGAGCAGTTTCCTCCTCCCAGGGTTATCAAAGCCCATGTTTTACCTCTTTGCCTGCATAGTTTGAAGGGGGAGAAGGGCAATCCTTTGGGAGGGCAGTAGCAAGTGCACCATAAACAAGAGTGGGCCCTCAGGAGGACCCAGCAATTTAGGGACATGGCACAACAGCACCTCTTTTCCAGGCTTTTCCCTGGAACAGCAGAGCCTGGCTGTGCCTGGTGCCGATTTTGCTCTGCCTGGGGTGGTGGGGACAGGCTGGGGCAGGGCTGGGCTGTGGGAGACAGGATGGCTCATGCAGAGCCAAAGAGCATCACCACTCTGAGCCCAGGGTGCCCTGCAGCAGGAGAGCGGTGCTGGCCCTACATTTATGGACCTTTATCCCTGTTTGTGTTTGCAGACCAGGAGCAGTTCTTACAGCCGAGTTTTCCCAGCTCCCTCTGGCCTCCAGCTTCTTTTCCTGCCTATCTGTTCCCTCTGAAGATGTGAGATGCTGGAGCAGCTCCCATCCCTCCTGCAGGTGAGTGAAAGGTGGGCTCTGTGGCACGGGGAATCCCTGCTTAACCACATCCAGGCACTGCTGTGTGTGGCATTCCTCGAGGAGCCAAAGAAATGCTCCCTCCAGGCTGGGCCACGGCTGCTCTCCACATGGAACAGGCTCAGGAGAAGGTTGGGGGTTCCAGCAGCTAAATCTGAGGTCCTGGGGCTCGGTGCAGCTTTCCAGCAGCCTCCAGCTTACGAGAAGAGGTGGGAAATTCCCGTGCTGGGGGTTTCCTTCCCGCTGCTGGAGGAAGCTGCCTGCAAAGGTCCTTCCTCAGAGCTTGGTGGCAACCAGCTGGGGCACACAGGGGACTTCCAGCTGCAGTGGGGGCCACTGGTGTTCTGGGGGCTCTTCCCTTGCCAGGGCAGTGGGATTGCAGCTGCTGGAATTGCCAGTGGTCCCTTGTCCCAGTTTGGTGGTGTCACTGGGATGGAGGCATCTCCTGAGGGCACTTCTGTGGGACTGGGATAGTGACATCTGGGGGCATTCCTGTGGCACTGGGATGGTGACATTTCCTGGAGGAATTTCTGTAGGACTGGGATGGTGACCTTTCCTGGAGGCGTCTCTGTGGGCCTAGAATGGTGACATCTCCCGGGGACGTTTCCATGGGACTGGAGTGGTGGCAGCTCCTGGGAGCGTTTCTGTGGGGCTGGGATGGTGCCATCCCCTGGAGGCATTTCCATAGGGTGTCTCCTGGAGAAGCACCCAGCAGTGCATTCCAGGGACACTGGCCAGGATGATTAGGGACACACCAAAACTGCTTTATCCCCCTTCCCCCTCGGAGCTGGGAGTTCTTGCTTTGAGGAGCAGAGTGGGATGCCCCAGCCCTGCCTTTCTCCCAACATCAGGACTTTGTGCAGCAGGAGCTGCTTGCCAGCTTGCTGCATCCCAGGGCTCCTGCACAAAGCTCCCTTTCACCTTGGAGCATCCGGAAAACATAATGGGGCAGCAATTACTGGTGCAAGCTGGGGCCTGGGAGATGGGTGGCAAGGAGCCAGTTATTGTTAATTAGGCATGTTGCTCTTGGCCAGCCTGGGATTTGCTGCTGTGCAGGAATTTGTTTGCTCCAGGGGGGCTTTGTGTGTCTGGCTGAGCCTTGGGAGGCTGAGGGAGCCACGGCCCAGGCATGTGTGGCTCAGGGTCGAGCCAGAATCGGCCCCAAACCTCATGCTGAGCTGATCCCACACGGATTTCAGATCAGGCTGAGCCTGCACACTTTCCCCAAGACACAGGTGAGGAGGCATCAGCACAGATGCAGATTCCTGTCTTCTCTTGGCCAGCAGTTTTTGCTTGGTTGCGAAATAAAAGGAGACCTGGAACCTCTCCCACGTGGAAGGAGACCTGGAGCTCAAGTTTCCACTGCCACCTCCTGCCTCTGCGGGATAAAACCAGAGCTCCTGCCCTTCCCCTCCCCACCAGACCACTCCAGTTAGTCCTCAGTTCACAAATATGTACAACTGGGGGGATTCCCACCCGTGCTGCTTTGGCTAAAACCCATGAGAAGGGAAAAAACAAGACGGGGAAGGGGTGGGAAAAGCCCTTCACTGCCTGTCTGGGGAGGAGCAGGAGCAGGAGGGTCCCGGCTGCCAGACACTGCAGCCTGCTCAGGAAATGGCCTTTTCGTTAGGCAGTTCTACACAGCTCTAATTAAATTACAGGATTAGAGCCATCTCATTCCTCACTCATCTGGTGCCAAGTGCTCGTTCCAAGGGAGTGCCCTCCATCAGAGGGAGAAGTGCCCGCGCAGCGCTCGGCTCGGGCTGGCCAAGGGAGCTCAGCCGGCCACGGAGTCGCTCCTTGATTGCACTGCATTGCAGATGGGCTGTCTGGAGCCTGTCATCATCCCTGGGTGGCCTCCTGTGCGCGCCTCTGATCCTCAGCTGCGCAGAGATCCGGGGATGGATGATCCGGGGATGGATGATCCGGGGATGGATGATCCGGGGATGGATCATCCCCTGCTCGCTGCTCTGAGCTCCGGGCAGGCCGTGCAGAGCAGGAAACTCGCAGGTTGTCCTTTTCCCAAGGATCAAAGAGGGCCGAGAATCATCATTAGGGTTGGAAAAGCCCCCTGAGCTCACGGAGTCCAGCCCTTAATCCAGCACCTAAAGCACGCCCCCACCATGCTCTATAAGTACCAGGAGGTCTGCAGCCTCCCTGGAAAGGAGGAGACAGAGCACAGGGGTGTGGCTGGGCAGGGGAGCAGGGAACAGGACTTTAGGGAGCACAGCCCACCTTAAACCAAAAATCCATCCCAGCAGCCAGTGAAGGGGGAGCTGAAAGATGCACAGTGGAGTTCCTTTCAATTTGCTTTTGTTGCTTGAAGTCCTTGTGGGCAGATGGTGTGAATGTCCCGTCCCAGGGCAGACCTGGGCAGTGCCCACTGATGAGAGATTTGGGCGGTTTCTCAGCTCACATTTTGGCACTGGGTTTTCTTCTGTTGCTTTGCAGACAAGTTTCCAGGGAGACCAGGAGCTGAGGGAGAGGCTCCTCTCCTTCCACCACCCTGCTATGAGTTATCCCCATGCTCTGGGGAGCTGGGTAACCTGCAGCTTGCTGAAGGAAGGTTCCTTTGGTGTGGCCCATGCGCAGAAAAGCACAAGAGAGCTGGAGAGGGACTGTGGATGAGAGCCTGGACAGGGGGAATGGCTTCCCACTGCCAGAGGGCAGGGTTAGATGGGATACTGGGAAGGAATCCTTCCCTGGGAGGGTGGGCAGACCCTGGCACAGGTTGCCCAGGGAAGCTGTGGCTGCCCCATCCCTGGAAGTGTCCAAGGCCAGGCTAATGGAAGGTTCTCCCCAGTGGGCTGCTTCTTGCTGGAAGTCCCATTGCTGCTGCCCCTCAGCTGGAGGGAGGACCTCAGGCATCTTGGGTGTGAGCCACTGGCTCTTTGTTTGTGCCAGCTTTCCCGTGCCCTTTGTGATGCTGCATTTCCCCCTCTCCTGACTGGAATGGCCATTTGGCCTGGATCCCTGGAGTGGATGAAACTCAGGTTTCCCTTACTCGTTGTTCAGCATGAAAGCCCATAAAGGTTTTCTTGCTAGTGCTACAGCCACAGGGCCCATGGCACGGGTTGAACCTCAGCTGTCTCCCCCACTCAGTCACTTTGCTGCATAATTACTCCTGGAGAAGCCCTTTCTTTCCCTGTCTTCTCCCTTCTTGGCTGGAGGCACAGCGTGTCTTGGGTTTAATTTACTGCCTTGTCTCCTGGACAAGCTCTCAATCTCTCCTGCTTTTAAATAAAACCCAAGGAAATCCTGCCTGAAAATCAGCATCTTCCTACAGGTCAGGTTTATCCCTGGAGATGGTGAAACTGCAGCTGGACACAGCCACGAGCAAGTGGATCCGGCTGGACCCGCCTTTGAACCAGGGTTTGGACCAGTGGCCTGCAGAGACCTTTTCTAACTAAATTCCTCCTGCTGGGTGATTCCTGTCTCCTGCAGGGCCACGTTGCTCCCCTTTCTCCCCCCTTCCCCGCTCTGCTGGCCCTCAGCAATGACACAGGGAACACAAATCACGCTGTGACGGAGCGAGAGGAGCCGGGAATGAGCGACCATCCGGTAAGGGAATAACCCCATCCCTCCAAAGGGGGGCGTGGGAAAGGGCACCTCCCAACACTGCTGAGACATCCCAACCCCTGTGCAGAGAGGGGAGAGCTCAAGCTTTGGAGGCAGGACCAAACACTGTGGTCTGTCACAGGGGATTAGGGAAGCAGAGCCGAGAGGAACGGCGAGAGGGGCTGTTTGCTCTTCAAACCGGACCCGCCCGTGCACGTGGAATTACCTGAGTGCCAGAAAATATTTAGCCATAAATCTTATTAACAGCACCCTGCAGATGTGAAGGAAGGGAAATAAAAGGAAACAAACGAGGAGGGGACGGGTTTGGAATGATAAAGAAAGGAGGCGAACCCTGGCTGAGCGCTCGGTTTGCAGCCAAAGGGTTTTATAGGAAGGGCTTCAGCTCCGTGAGGAAATCAGCTGGAACGGGTCTGGCAGGATAGCTCTCCAAGTGAGAGCTCTTCTTGCAGAATACCAATGATTTCCATCCAAAATAAAGTGGCTTAGAAAGCAGCTATTTCAGGGGCTCTGCCTGCGCTGGGGCAGGAGAGGGGAGGTGGAGGGAATGCAAAGCAACACCTGCCTTGGAGAGGAGGAGGGATCAGAAGGGTTGGAGGGCAGATTTTCATGCCTGCTCAGCTTTGTGTCAGAATAGCCAGGGTTTGTTTTTTGCAGAATCACAGAAGGGGTTGTGTTGGAAGTGACCTTAAAGCTCATGCAGTTCCACCCCCTGCCGTGGGCAGGGACACCTTCCACCAGCCCAGGTTGCTCCAAACCCTGTCCAGCCTGGCCTTGGACACATCCAGAGATGGGGCAGCCACAGCTTTTCTGTGCCAGGGCCTCCCCATCCTTTTCATTTGGTGCTTTTCCTGCTTTTTCTGCCTTGTCTCTGATAGGGGGACAGACTGCTGTCCCCATGTCCCAAACCCAGCCATTGTGACCCTGGAAAGTGCACTGGGGAAGGCTCTGGGAAGGGCTGGGGGTGATGAGACACCCCTCTGTTTGCAGAGGGATGCTGTGTTTCAAGCTGTCTGTGCCCACGCTGGGCTCTCCCAGCCACACTCCATGTGCTGATGCTTTGAACTCTTCCTTGCTGGGGACAGGACCCAAGAGAATGGCCTTGAAGTTGTGTCAGGGGAGGGTTAAGCTGGATATCAGGAAAGGGGTCTTCTCCCAGAGGGTGGTTGGCACTGAACAGGCTCCCCAGGGCAGCGTGCCAGAGCTCCAGGAGCGTTTGGACAACACCCTCAGGCACAGGGTGGGATTGTTGGGGTGTCCTGGGCAGGGCCAGGAGCTGGACTGGATGGTCCTTGTGGATCCCTTCCAGCTTGGCATATCCTGCGGTTCTGTGGTCTCCAGGAGCAATTAACGGCAGATGGAGCAAGGCCAACAGGCCGGCAGGAATTCCAGCCTGATTTAAACATTCCAGCCTGCCGGGAGGCTGCTCCCAGCGCTTCCCTCCCACCGGGGCTCTTGGCGCTGGCACCGCTGGCCCAGCACGGAGCATCCCCCCGGGAATGCTCCAAACACCCCTCCCCGGCCGCCCGAGGGGCTTTTTCCTCGCGTTTTCTCTCCCCGGGCTCCTGCGGGCCGAGGTGAGAAATGCCTCCCGAGCAATGCTGTTTCCCCGAGGAGCGTGGGAGAAGGCTTTCAGACAGCAAGGCTGCGCCCTGGGGCGCGTTTCCAGCAATCTGCTTCCCGGGGATGCTGATCCCCAGGCTTCACCCCCGCCGCTGCACTGGCAGCACCACGCGTGCTTGTGGCAGCACGGGTCGGGAATCGCAATCCCCAGCTCCATCCCTGCCCTGCCCTCGCCTAAACGGGCCGTGGAAATCTGCTGCAAAGCCGCTGCAAAGCTGCTGCTGTGCTGGAGAGCTGTAAGGACACGTCCCTTCGTGCCAGGAGAGGGCTGGGACAAAGCGAGGTGATGCCCGGGTTCACGCTGCCCGCCTGTCTCCTGCAGGACAGGGATCATCCCAGGGCGCTGGGAAACGGTGCTGTATCAAACCCTTTGGTTCTGCCTGGCAGCTGGTGGCAAGTGCTGGTGGCAGGAGGATTTCAGAGCCCTGATCCAAACCCTGCTCTGCTCTTTGTTCTGGGTCACCTCCGAGGCCGCGCAGAGCTCGTTTTCAGAGTCTGGCTCAGAAGGGGCTGAAGCCTGAGGAATTTATGCCTGGGGGAGCCAGATCACTGCTCCAGCTCTGAAGGAATTTGGGGGGTGGGCAGCAGAGAGGGGACAGTCTGTTTTGCTCTTGATTTCTCTTTCCAGTTGTAGTGACACCTCACTGAGACATCAGCCTTCTTTTTTAAACAGTGACTGTTAGAAAATAGTTCAGAACCCCTTCCTTGCCAGTGTGCTGTTCCTTGTGCCTTCCAGATCTTCCAAAATAAACTGCTGCTGGGACCCCACCTGCAGTGCTGCCTCTGGCACAGGAAGGACGTGGAGCTGCTGGAATGAACCCAGGGGAGGCCCCAGGGATGCTCCAAGGGCTGGAGCCCTCTGCTCTGGAGCCAGGCTGGGAGAGCTGGGGGGGTTCACCTGGAGAAGAGAAGGATCCAGGGAGACCTGAGAGCCCCTTGCAGGGCCTAAAGGGGCTCCAGGAGAGCTGGAGAGGGACTGGGGACAAGGGATGGAGGGACAGGACACAGGGAATGGCTTCCCACTGCCAGAGGGCAGGGAGAGATGGGATATTGGGAAGGAATCCTTGCTGTGAGGGTAGTGAGACCCTGGCACAGGTTGCCCAGAGAAGCTGTGGCTGCCCCTGGATCCCTGGAAGTGTCCAAGGCCAGGTTGGAGCAACCTGGAAGGTGTCCCTGCCCATGGCAGGGAGGTTGGAACAAGATGGGCTTTGAGGTCCCTTCCAACCCAAACCATTCTGTGATGATGATGGTTGTCTGTTTTATTCCAGCCTTGAGGGCTTGGAATTTGACTGTGCCAAAAGCCTGGGTATGAGCAAGTTCAGGGAAGCACCTTTTAAAGTGTTTGGTTGCTGCATTTCCCCCGTTTTTGTCAAGCCTGAGGGAGCTGATGTGCAGCTGAAACCAGCTGCTGTTGTTTTTAAGTTCCTCAGGGCTGCTCCAGGCAGGCATCTTCAGGAATGCCAGTCTGAATTGACTTCCAAATTAGAGTCATTAAAGCAAAGGAAGCCTTTGCAGGGAAGAGCTCCTGGATGGAGGCTACACTGAGCTCAGGGGGTTGTCCCAGGGCAGCTCTCAGGCTGTGCTGGGGGTGAGATGATTTAACACCCCGCAGACTTCTCCCTCATTCCCGTTTTTCCACAAGGCACAGCATGTGCCTGGGGTGTCCCCTGACACCTGGGCTCACTCAGTTTGGCCCCAGTTTGATCCAAGTGTGCAGGCATATTTAGGGTTCCCCACACCCCTGAGGCAAAGGCTTGGGAGCAAGTTGGGATTTGGAGTCCTGGAAACCCTCTTTGCTCTCCAAAACCAGAGGCCAACCTTGCAACCTCAAAACTTCACACAGGACAGTGCACAACAAGGAGAAGAAAGCACTAAATGGGCCAAGAGCTGCCAATTTCACAGCAGCTGTCAAGAAATAGTGAACTGAAATATTCCCTAAGGACAGGGGAAACGGCAAACCCAAGCAGTTGTCACTGGTTTTTTACCTGCAAGTCAGACCTTGCGTCTCTCCTTGGGGATGTTTCTGTTCCTCTGACCAGTCCCTGACCTTTCTCAAAGGGGGCTTCAACCCCAGGCTGGAGAGAAAGGGGCTTTCCCTTCCTCACTGCTCCCCCTTCACTGTTGCTTTCCCTCACGAGTTGTCACTGTCACCAGATGCAGCAGGGACATTTCCCTGTTGCTTGTTTTCCAACTGAAACGATTCTGTGGTTCATCCTTTCTTCCTCCTTCAGCTCTCCATGCTTTTAACCAAACTCTCCCAAATATTGCTGTTTTCTTGGATTTGTGGTGCTGTACTTTCACTGCTGATTATTTTTTTTTTTGGGTGGGGGAGAAGGGAAATGTGATAAAAGGGAAGAGGAAGAAAATGTTTCTTTTTCTGTTCTTCTAATTGTGGGGGTTTTTTTTTTTTTTTTTTTTTCTCTTAAAGCCAGAAATGAGAAAATGGAAAATAGAAAAAGAAGACAAAAATGCCCCAATTCTTTCAAAATAGCTCCTGGAGGATTTCCACCCTCAAGTAGAGCTTTTGTGCCTCAGTAAAAACCACAAAGGTGAGCTGTGTGTCCCCTGTAGAACACAGGGGTATTTTCCTCTGCCCACGTGTCTTGGGCACTGACCTGAGGACATGGGGAGGCTTTCCTGGGGCTGTGGTGGCCCCATTGTTCCTTCACAGCGATCCTTTATGCTGATGTGCACCTTTTGTGGTGCTGCCATCAGGGGAGGGGGTGACAAATGGAATGGGAAACAAAGGGGGTGAAAACAAGGATAATAACCAGCTGATATTAAGCCCAAGCCCGGCTGACAACAGTTAATAATAAATGGGCATTAATTAAAGCTAAATTACAGGGGAAGGTGCAGGCCTGGCTCTCAATCCAATTAGAGTAACGGAGAGGATCTGTCCAGCCTGGGAATAAACGATCAGAGGCTGGGGAAGTCACCAGCAGGGCTGTGTCCTCTGAACCCACAGCCTCGGGGTGTTCCCACACCTGGGGGCACGAGACTCGCTTTTAAACCTCGTGGGCTTTAAAGAAGCTTTGGGAGGTGCCATTTTCCAAGCACCCCAGAACCACAGCCACGAGGCAAAATACAGGGGTCTGAAAGCTTGGAGGGTTTTTAAGACACATCCAGACTTTCAGTCACGTCCTACAAATAATCTGGAAATGATAAATAGAGCCAATGGTACCCAGAAAAGGCTGTTCTGGTCCAAAGGAGCTCCACATGTTTTCTGTTTCTCCTCTGTCTCGTCTGCAGGGTGGCTGATCCAGATGTGCAGCTCGAGACTAAAGGGAATGTTCTTCCTCCCTGGGAATAAACACAGGGATTTGGGGGGTTTAATGCAGTGAAGGGAATGTGTTTTGGGCATTTTGGCTCAGCACAGCTTGGCATTACAGGTATCCACAGAGGCAATTCAGAAGGATGCTCCAGTTTAGACTTGCCCCCCCGTGGAATTACCCACCAGGTGCAGCTGGTCCATGTTTGCAGAGGCCTGACCACAGGATCCCAGAATGGTTTGGGTTGGAAGGGACCTCGAAGACCATCTTGTTTTTCAGGCAGGACCTGAGAGTGAGAGCACTTTGGGGTTTTGTTTTTTTGGAGGTTGGGGCAGGAGGGATGCTCAGTTGAGGCTTTAACAGTTCTGGAAAGAAACCAAACCCCTTTAGTCCTCAGAGGTGCAGTGGACTGAGATCCCCTACAATTCTCCCCGTGGATTGGCACCTTCAGCACCTGGACCTGATGGGAACATCCCAGGAGATGCTGGAGGCGCTGCTTAAAGAAGGTGCCTCTGCTTTGAACTCCTTCCTCAATTAAATCATGGAATACCCTGAGTTGGAAGGGACCCACGAGGATCACTGAGTCATGAAGCATCAACATTCCAGACTTGGGGGTGATGGGGTCCTGTTGTGTAGGAAACTGCCTCCAATCCCTTCAGCTGTGTCTGAGGTGATCTCTTTCCCTTCCTGACCTCCAGAGATTATTCTGGAAAAACAATTCTGAAGATGCCATGGCAGGAGGAATAAAAATAGCCCAGCAGATGAGATGAGCCGGTCTCCCTGGCAGTACAAATACTTCCAAGCGCTTCTGGTGCAGGGAAAATGAAGCCTGTAGCAGGAAACACAGGGAATCCCTATACAAAAGAAGGAAATTTGGGGAGAATGACTCATCTGGGAGAGGAAACTAGGTGCTGGGGCTGGCTGTTAGCAAGGCAAGGGTCCCCCAGAGCATCAGGCTGTAAGTTGAGCAGGGTGACATCCCAGTACAGGTGACATCCCAGCACAGGTGACATTCCTGGCTGAGCAGGGCTGCTGGGATCTGTCTCCCAGGGGGTTCTCCAGGTGCTCCAGCTGAGGAATGGAGTGGGATGAAAATGGAGAATGCCTTCAAATGCCAGCGTGGGAACTGCCTGCACCTGCACGGCATCTCGAGGTGATTTATGAGGGAAGCCCAGTTTAAGCCTCCAGTGCTGGAATCTGTTGTTCCCGGGAGGAGTGATGACAGAAACAGAACTTGCTGGCTCCTGCAGCCTCCTGTGGGCCCACAGTAAGCAAATTCCCTTCTGATCCATTTTTCCCTTCCCAGCCATCCCCCCTGTCGTGTTAGCAGAGCTGCCTTCCTTTCCCAGGGCTCTCCACCCTGGGAGGTGGGAGATGTGGAGCGTCAGCTTTGGCTTTAACTGCGGTTATTCTGGGGAAGAGTTTAACCTGCTGGTGAATGAGGGCTCATTCTTTAGAGGTGACTCCTCTACAGCACTCACAGGCTTTGGGGAAGGGAGAGGGGAGACAAGAAAATGAGGAGGAGCTGGAAAATGGGAGACTTGGTGAGGTCAGAGCAGTCCTGTGGCTCCAGGTTGGTGATGGATGGATGGATATGCCAGACCCCAGAGCAGGGGTTATCTGGGCTATGTGGGTTATTCCAGGCATGTCCCTTATCTCGGTGTCCAGTACCCAGCCCTCTCCATGATCCTGCTGAGCAGAGGACAGGTTTCATCCCCACAGCCTTCAGGCTTTCTTGGCTGCTCCTTTTCTCCTCTCCATCTGGGAAGTAAGGGAAGGAAGGAAGGAAGATGTCCCTGCCCGTGGCAGGGGGTTGGAACTGGATGATTCCAGTTCCAAACTGTTCCCCAACCTGTCCACTTCCCCAAACCATTCTCTGATCTTATGAGGTGTGCTCTGAGCAGGGAGTTGCATTAACCCTGCAGCCCAGCCGGGACTGGAAAAATCGGATGAGACACAGTGGGAGCCCAGGGAGGAAGGGAGATGGGCTTGTGATGCTGATTCCCCTCTCTCCTGTTTTATGCATCCTAAAAAACCACTTCCCCTGATCATTTCGGGAGCACACTGAGGGCTGTGGTTGGCAGATGGGTTCTTTTAGAGGTAGAAGCCCTTTGCAGGCAGCACCTTCCAAGGGAGATGTTATCTCCTTCCCAACAGATGACCCTCTCCCCACTCCCAGAGATCTTTCCCACAGGAATCACCCCAGGAATAGGAGCAGGAATCCGTGGTGGGAGCGGTGGCTCCGAGGATGTCTGGGTCCATTCCTGGCTGGATTCTTGGCTGCCTCACGGGGCCTGAATCACGCCTGGGCCTTCCTTTGTGGCAGGGCTTTGTGTAACAGCTCTCTCTCGTGTACGAGAAGAGCTGAGTGAGTGATGAATTCTCTTCCCTCACTCGGGATATTTATAGCTTTTTAGAGCTTTTTTTTCCCCTCTTTCTTCCCCAGCCAGTCACCTATTTTCACGAGGCTCGTGGGCTGCAGCTCCTCTCCCGAGGCCTGGGGGGACTGGACAAAGCACTCCAAAGTTTCTCAGCACCAGGATGGTGGATTTTAAGACCTCCCCCCCCGCCACACACACACACACCAGCCTTGTGTGTGAAATCAAGCTGAAAGCCACGAGACTACACAGTTCCCTCTTTATTTTTGGAGGCTCCGAGGGTCACGTTTCCCATCTGCTTCTCCACGGGCTCCCGTTTTCCTCCTCAGCTCGCTGAGTTCTCAGTGTTTTGTTGTGGAAGGTGTGATTAGATGGGTATCAGCTCTCCCAGGGTGCAGCAGCTCTGACCAGAGCAGGTGGGATGAGATCCAGAGCGCCTGGTGTGGGTTTGCTCCCGCTCTCCTGATGACACACGACAGGGACCGGCGCGGATTTTCACTGGGAGCTTTTTCTGCACTCTGGGTAAGCAAGGAGAGATGCTTCTGTGTCCCAAAAACATGTGTCTGGGTACCTGTTTTCACCTGGTGGGCTCAAGAAAGGGGTGCAGGTCCTCAAGATGTCCATCCATCCACCCATCCATCCACATCCATCCATCCACCCATCCATCCATCCCCCCTAAGCCACGAGGGGAATGAACACTTGCACGATGGATGTTCCAGCCTTAGCAGGGAGGGGGTCTCCTGTCCAAGCAGGAAAAAGAATTACACCTTTTAAAATACTTCACAGCCATTTGTAACTTCCCTTAAGGAGAGTTCTGTGTCTTCCTCAGCCCTGAACACAGACTGCCATGTTCCACGCTGGGAACAGCATACAGAAAGTAGAATGAAACTGAAGCAAAATGGTATTTTGAGTTGGTTTGGTTTGGTTTTTTTCTGTACCTAATTTAGTGCTTCTGCTTTCCACCCCCCTCATCCCCCCCATTTTCCTTTTTTTTGTTGCTGTTGTTCTGTTGCTTTTTTTAAAACCTGACAGAGGGAAAACAGGTGACTTCCCCACCGTGGATGCTTTAGCTCCCCTTGCCCTGGTGGTCCCCCATCTCCAGGCTGGTCTGGAGCCCAGTTTAGCCCTCACATCTCCCTTCCCCCTGCCTTGGGAGTGTTCCCTGTACCATCCTCCTGCAGCTCTGTGCACTTGTGCCCTTCTCCTCTTCCCACAGCCTGATTTATTGGGTTTATCTTTCCCTTTTCCAGCCACCCTGATTGTGGTGACCTCTGCTCCCTGCATAGCTGGAATTCCTCGGAGGGAGGGGAGGGTTTCTGGGCCACCAGGAAGGGCTTTCTCCTTCCCTGGGTCACTCCAGATGACACCAAGGGGTCTCTCAGCAGTATCCATCCACGCTGGCATCCAGCTCTGTGTCTCCTGTGCCCTGGGATGAGCTGGATCTCCAGGGAGGATGCTCCATCTTTGAGCCGGTGGTAGGGAAAGCAACAGCGGGGTCTGTCCTTGCCCTGGGAACATTCTACTCCCCCCAGCCCACCTCCAAACCTCAGCTGTGCCCCCCCTGGAAGATGGAAAGATGGGCAGGGTCTCCCCTGGCATGTGGGATGGGGTTAGGGAGAGGCCAATCCCCGACACCGGGACATTAACCTCGGTTTAATTGGTCTCATCAGTTCTCCCCTTCCCCTGTGCAGGCCCTGAGGAGGGACACAGGGACCACACCACATCAGGTGTTACACCTGGCAGAGCCAGGGCTGCTCAGACAGCGAGGGGCTGCAGAACATCCCAGATTCCTGAGAGCGCTCCTGTTTGTGCTGGCGGCTCTCACCCAGGCAGGATCCATCTCCCACCCTTCCCAGGAGGTCAGGACGGAGGAGCCACCCCCTGCCACGCTCCCTGCCGCCACAGCTCACCCCCCACGCTCCAGAAAGGCCACTCTGGAGGTGGAGCAGAGCCAGCTCCTGGGGATGCACCTGTGCCGATTCCTGCATCCCATGCAGACTGTGGGATTGTCCCTTCCCGCTGTCCTGCTGTCCAGCTCCCTGAGCTGAGATGGGCATGGATCAGCAGGGGCTCAGGCTGAGACTGGGACAGAGATTAATCCTCCTCTATCCCTGCTCCCCTTCCCTCCAGCAATCCCCGTTGGAGGCCACAGGCAGTGGCTGATGGGTCGAGGGGCAGCAATTGGGGAGCTGCTCTCCTTGTGCTCTGTGGGAATTGCACCTCACTAGGAGTTAAATCTCCCAGATGGGAGTGAAATGGGCACTGGGTTTTAATTAACCTGCACTGCAGGCAGGTGGCAGAGCACCCCACTGCACCCAGGGAGAGAAGCTGGGGGCACAGGGGCCACGCCTTGGAAATGCATCTTGGCTTTGTCACCGCACACTTCTGCAAGGGCCAAACCTGTGTCCAGTTCCTCTGGGCTGGGTCTCACCAGTCCCTCTACTGAAACAGCCTCCCTTTAAGGACCTCAACTCTTTTTTTTTTTCCCTTTAGCAAACCCAGGAGGACCTGTGCTGTGCTGTGCTGTTTGACTCTGCAGTGGTGCCACTTTCGGACTTCCATGGCTCCCCGTCCCACCCTCAGGGCAGCGATGGGAGTTCCTTACTCCACACACAGCCTTGGGGTGCAGCTCTCAAAGTGGGTGGCTCCAGGACGTGTGGCACAAGCTGAAACCTCTGGGAGAACAGGGTTTTACCTCCAGCTCTGCTGGTGGCTTGCTGTGGGGCTCGTGGGTGGAAATGCTCGGCCGCTGCAGTCACGCTGCGTCCTCCAACTCACCTCCCCCCCCTCGCTGCCTGGGACAGCTTGTGGTGTGACTTCTGCAGAGATGACTGTGAAAAAAAGGACAAACCCCCTTCCAGCAGGCTGCTGCAAAATCCTGGAATGGGCATAAAACTCGTGAGTTCATTTTTAGGTGGGGTTTTGAGGTTTTTTTAAAGCCGAGTGCTGGATTCTCTCCACGAGCCACATCGCCCAGGAGGCTGCGAGTTCTTCCCCTTCTGACAGCTGAGAGGGAAGGTGAGGCTCCCCAGGCTGAAAAGTGACCCCCAGCATGTGGCATTTCTGCTGAACCTCTGGACACCACACAGCTTGGGATGGAATTCCCAGGAGTGGGCATGGCGTGGATGATCCGGCCATGGGTTTTATCCCAGGAGTGGGGAGGCAAGAGGCAGAGAGTCCTGCTTGATCTGAGACATCCTCCCCCTGTGCATCCACCCCCTGTGCAGCTGGGCAGGTGTTTGGGACAGGAGTGTGACATGAAACACTTGGAGAGCCGGAATGTCCCTCGGAGGGGGTGGATTTTACCCCAAAGGTTGGCTTTTGAAATCCCTGGCAGGCAGGTTAGGAGGTGACCCCCCCACCTCTGGGACTGATCTGTGGGGATGGCTGATAGCAAACTGCACTGCCAGACCTTCCACTGCCATAATTACACATCAGCAAATACCCTGAAGTGATTAATTACTGCCTGACACACTTCTGGAGCCCATGTGGGCTCAGGGAACTCCCCCCCCGCCATCCAACCATTATTCTTCCCTAGGAAGAGCCTTCTGCTCTCTTTGTTTTGAACTGGGAGGTGGGGGGGGGAGTCAATGTTTTGAGAACACCGGCAAATGATTGGGAAATAGCTGTGATGACACCCACAGAGGTGAAATCACACCCTGCACACCCCTGCCAGACCCAGCCCCTGTCTGCACCCTGCCCCAGGCCTGAGCTGGTGCCACCAGAGAGGAGCTCTGGGGAAGAGCTGACCCTGGAAGCTCTGAGACACTTCTGCCTTTGCTCTCTTTGGGTCAGGATGTTTTGGAGGGGCAGGGACATGAGGATCAGCAGCCTGAGTCCAGCATGCTGCTGTTTCGGGTGCTGCATGGGGATGGAGCCCCTCCCAGCTCCTGCTGCCTGTCCTGCTGTGGGGCAGGGAGGTGGGAAGGGAACTGTGGGGGATTAGGGAAAGGTTAAAGGCTTCTCAGTGAAGGGAACTGCT